ACTACACTATTGCCATATGCCAAGTAAAAGTAATAGGTTATGAGCAAGGGCATTGCAAACTAACCACACAGAGTAATTTGGTCATAGAACCACTTAAAACAAAGCCTAAAATAAGAAACTTAAGCCACTTCTATATTCTGAGCCTGATTTTTCTTTAAGAAAGCATGAACTGTAATGCATTCAGTTACAGGTCACTCTTATCTGTAGAGACAAACCACCTCCCCAGACCCACATGCAAAGTCCTGTACCTGGAACACCTGGCTCGCCTTTTTCTCCTTTTGCTCCTAGCTGTTTTGGATCAACTTTTCCAGGTGGACCTGGCAGGCCTGCTTCACCTTTGATGCCTTTCTGTCCTGCTGGTCCAGGAGACCCTGGGGGACCAGGTAATCCACTATTGCCTACAGTAGGTACAGACAACGAAGGGGAAAAGAATACAATCCTTAAGGGAGGCCAATACATTTGTAATGCTTTTTCTTACATTGGGAGTTCAGGATTTATTCATGCAGTTGGAATTCACTAAATGACCAGTGAGTTTATTCAAGGGTCTCCAGAGCATCTTAAGCCTTGGAACAAAGCCGGGTGAGTGGACTGCATGGGGATTCTGTGTCTGGCCAACCCAGCTCAGAAGCAGTTGTCTATATGACCCACACCGAGAGAGCTCCCAAGCACTCCACCACACTGTACCACTAGCACAGAGGAGTTGCAACAGCTACAGCAGCTTTGGATTCACAGCCTCCTTGTTCTGAGGAGATGAGTGAGTTTTATTTCTATCAAACTCTTTCAAAATTCATCTCAACAAGCAAGTTGGGAAAATGTAGATCGACTAGTTTCTCTGTGGTTCTTATGGAGCTGATTCTGGATGACTCCAGAACCCAAAGCTACTGATTTTCTTCTTTCTACTGCTTAAAGCATGTTTACAACATGCTTCAGAAATATTGCCCTACTTTAACACCATCAATGCAAAGGTAATGTTTTAAATTACCTAACAATTCATGACATTAATTAGAACAAGAGCGACTGAATGTTATGGCTTAGAACTGCAAAGCAATTCTGAATATCAGCACGGTCAAACAAAGATAACTGAGACAGGTCCCAGTAATGAAGGTCTCGATGTTAGTATTACAAAGCCCCTTCCCACACAGGGCATGGAAAACAGTGGTCTGCATTTTCTGCAGGGGCAGATAAAACAAGCATTACCTTTCAAGCCAGGCAGGCCACTTCTTCCAGGAGTTCCTGGAGGCCCTGGAGGACCAGGGGCTCCCATGACACCCATCTCCCCTTTGGCACCTAAATGCATTGAATCACCATTGTCATTCTGAATAAAAACTCAACACCTATCAGTATCTAACTTTTACTTCCCTGCATCTCTATGGTGTTTATTAAGCAACACATGCATACAAAGCCTGTTCTAAGGGAATTGCAAGCACTCAGTTCTTGTATAGATCTAAGGCAGATAAAATGATGCTTGAAAATTGTGGGATATTTTCCACAGTAAAGTGGAATTTGCAGTGTGCTGTTCTTTATGGTAGAAAGCACATTTATGCCACCAGTAAGTTTAGTTCCCTACTTTGAAACCTAAATACTTGTTTGAAAGCAAACTTGAATTTATTGAAGGCTAAGAAGACACTTAGGTGTATACTGCTTGTAGAGTCTCTGTACTGCCCCCTCTATCCAAAGATTCTTAAAATCCACTTTTGATATTTTTCTGCCAGAGGGTGAAACAAGACTATCTTAACTGAACAGTCTAACACACAGAATAAGGGAATTAGTATTTAAAACTGTGGTGAATCCATTTGAGAACATTTGCAATCACTTCATTTAAACAAATTCTATTTAGAAACTGTAGCAGGGACTAAGAAAAAAAGAAAAAAATAAATTAGGAAAGTGTCACAATAATGATGATCCATCAAAGTCATGATTGAAAAACTGTGAAACAGGATAATGTAGAAAACATTTGAATCAAGTTACAGGGAAGGGTGAAGAGGTGACAGGATTTTAACGCAACAGATTCTGTTACAACTGTTTTTTCAAGTATGAGCTGTATTGGTTACCTGCATCCAACTTTAAATGGATAGGATAAACATTAAAGCTCATTAAGCTGGCATGGCCAAGCATAAAGAGCATCCACCTGTAACTACAGTTCGGTCTTTGTCCACAGGTAAATGTAAACTTACCTGGAAATCCAGGTATTCCATCCCGGCCAGGTGGTCCGGGTGAACCCTGAGGCCCTGGGAGACCAGGGGGTCCTGGATATCCTGGGGCTCCCTGGTCACCTGGAGGACCAGGAACGTCGAAGCCTGGAGGGCCTGGATCCCCTTTCTCACCTGGAACGCCCTGCAACCCTAGAGAGTGTTGTTAAGACACAACATTTTAGCAGGAGGTAAGGCAAAGCTGAGATCTGTGTGTCTCTGGGCATGGTACTGTAGGAATAGATAAATTTTATCTGTGGTCCATTCCTAACAGTCATGAAAACCCTGCAATTCTTCTAAAGCCATTTAATTGTTAATGTTTGCAGGTATTAAGGCCACATTCTCCTGAAAAAACTGTTCCTAAAAGATGTAGCAAATGCAATTAAAAAAAAAACTCAAAAGGAAAACAACATCTCTCTTCATCAACATGTTAAGTTTGATTAATACACCAAAAAGCCATGATTGATGAGGCTGGTTTGTATTTTATCATTCAGTATTGAGATTCTTACAATTATATTTCCATCAGTAAGTCCATTTTATTACATTTTAAGATAACATCAGCTGTGTATTTTTGAAGGATGGTAAAATCCTGCATTGCATTACATTGCCCTGAATGAAAAATATGAACTCTCAAAATATGCTTAAGATTGTTTAACGCTGATGATACTGAGCTTGAGGCACTGATGCAGCAAGCAGACAGCTTGTTTCCCTTCAGTGCACTGTGTCAGTGAAAATGCTCATTCTGGAAATGTAGCTGATAAAAAAGGATCACTCTTAAATAAGTCAAGAAAAGGCTTTGGTAAAGAAACCACAATACCTGGGGAACCTGAGGTTCAAAAGCCAACGAGTTAGAGCTCATCAGGAAGTTGAGACAGGTAGCGGTAAGGAGTTGTAATAGTCGTTAAGTTAGGAAACAAAATAAAGCACATACAGATTAGAACAAAGCAAAAAATCTACCCTAAAGTTCCTGAAAACAGATCTAAGTACAAAGAACAACACCAACACAGTCAAGAGAAAACAGACTGCAAGGAAACTTGGAGGTCTTTGTCAAAGCGCGGCCACCACTGTACGCAGAAACAAGAAACTCAGTGAGATATTTGATGGTACATTTGAAAAAGTAGAATTATCTTCCCTCTCTCCTTGTCTACTATTCTCTTTGGAACTGGGAACAAGCTTTTTCTGAACTGTTTCTTACACAAAACTGAATTCTAATTGAATTTCTGGTTCTCAAAAATGTAACCATATCATAATTAGAACAATACAGACAACACAATCGATTCCAAAGGAATTTGGTGCTTTTCAAAAATAGAAGAATGCTGAATTATTGCAAACTATTTGAAGAAATGGTGGTGCAGAGAAAGGAAATTCGGAACAGGGAAATCCTTCCAAGAATTTTCCAAGAAACCTGAAAAGCAGGGTGCCAGATATGCTACCCTACAGCTGCACAAAGGATCAGAATCAAAACAGCCCAGTAAAACAAACAAGGAATGGGAGATGGGAATGCAGGCATTCTGCACAAAACAGAAGCAGCAATGCCAAGGGAAGTGACAAGGACTTCTCAAGTAGGACCTTTAGCGATGCACTAGATTCCAGAGTCACCATGCTGTTAGTAGCCACAATGATTAGTCAGCACAGACAAGAGCAGTGAAAATACAAGCATTTCAAATCCACCAACTCAAGTAATAACTGTGCACTTGTCAAAATTGGTATTTTCAGGATGAATCAGTGATCACATTAAATCCAATTCTGGCTAAAACCAGAAGAGATGTTACAGGAAAACAAAAGAACATGCATTGGATGAAACATTCAAACCCACACCAATGCAAACCACCCTCTCACCCCAAACACGCACAGGTGTTGCCTTCTGTTTCACCCCAGCCTCAAGTGCAACCATAGGTTCAAGGACAGTATAGTGGGCACAGTAAATCAGGCAGTGGACCCACCTGCTTGCTCAAGGAACTCCAGTGTGAGTTGTCCAGACCCTTCTATCCCTAGCTCTTAATTCTGGACACATTCAAGGCTTGCTCGTGCAGCAAATGCACCTTCCTTTCCCCACTGGGAAACTTGTGAAGAATCTGCTTAAACATGACCTACACTTTATGTATGTGAGTAGAATTCAAACTTCTCAGCCTACTTACTCTAGAGCTTGACCACTCTCATGTTAAGCACTTTGCTGAATCTCAGCTCACTGTTCATAAAGAACTGAATCTGATCAACCAATCTGTGACCCATTGTCTTAGAGCTGGCCATGAATTTTTCTGCTTGCGTTGTGATTGTGAACAATGTCAATCCTGGTGCTGGCATACAAACACATTCAAAAAGTGTGGCTCACAAACATGCAGCATAAACAGTCATACAGGCATGGTGGGAACCAGATGGGGTTTGAAGTGTTTCAGCAGCAGGCATGCTAAGTCCACAGAAAATGTTCCCACTGTGGTGACTGCCACATGTCTCTAGCATCAGGAGTTGGTGCACAGCAAGCCCATCCACTGAATGAGGGGCAAAAGGAATTTCCCTAAACAAACCTTGTGAAAAGAATGATGTGCATGCACATACATGTACCCTTTGCACACAGAGATGGAACAAACCACCTTCATCAGTCACCCGTATTCCAGACAAAAGACAAATTTCCTTCAGAGACATGTTCTAATTATCACTATCTTAGATTCTATTTTGTCAATCTACTTTAAACTTAGCAGGACTCCTAAAACTTGTTGGTTTTGCAGAAAAAAGGGAATCAGTAACCCCAGAACTCAGAGGTTTCTGTAAGAAGAATTCTAAAGCTCTTTTCCAGATGTGCTTATGACAAAAAGAATGTGTACAACTCTTTCTGACAGGCTTTTGTTAAAGCAGAATCATGTCACTGCTTGGAGAACATTTTCTCCTCTACAGAATAATGAACCAGCTAGTTTGGAATACTCGTGCTTTCTTGCTTTCCACACTGAGTTAAACTGTGGTTCAGCTTCCATTTGGGGGGAAAAAAAGAGTATCTACCCACTTCAGGGAAAACCTGAATTCTGCCCTTCATTTTGCAGTTACCATGTAAGCAGAGGGAGGACAAATAGCACTGTATAAGAGATTGAGTTTGTCTGCTTTTTTCCCCCAAACTAGAATAGATAATAATGTAAAAAAGTTCTTAAAAATACCTCTCACCCAATGAATTGGGAATACAGTTTGGAAAGCTAGAAAACTGCTTTGGAATTAAAGAACCATCTTCCTATTTGAAAGCAAAGTAATGGCTGCACAGTACAGGCAGCTAAAGACAGCTTTCCCCCTCTTCTGTATCCCCAAAGCCTCTGCACTGACATTGTGCTTCCCTTTGTCTTGTCCTCAAGAATATTGCAATAAACTCTTCCACAGAGATTTTTGTCCCTGTCTGTGCACAAGAGTTTCTGCCGAGGCTCCAAGTCTTCTCCAAAGTGGGCTCTTTCATCCTTAAAACCTCTCTAAGTTGTGCAAATTCCAGGGCTGAATGCAATTCTATTTCTGATTTCAGTAAAAAACATGATGCACCAGATTATGTCCACCTGACTGGCAAAACAGCCAAGCTAATAGATGTCAAGTCTCTTATCTTTCCTTGCCTGCCTGTTCAGTGGGACCTTCAGTGTCCTGTGTAGCTGCTTGGTATATGCCAGAAATAATATAAGGGTACAAGTCACGTGAGTTTTACCTGGGGGGCCAACAGGACCTGGAGGTCCTGGAGATCCAGGTGGGCCTTGACCACCAATGCCAGGGATGCCTGGTGGGCCTGGGAGTCCTGGTGGTCCGCTTGGTCCGGGGTCACCTAAAAGAACACTCTTTTTTAGTTAGTGAACTCAGTCCAGAAATACTTGCTTTCAGCTGCAGAGTGCCTGCATATTGTACTTGAAATCTCATCCTTGCATGCAAACAAATATGGATCTGACACAGGAAAAAACACTTCAGAGGCTAGTTCTGAAAGCCAGAGATTTGTCCTCACTCTGTGTGGAATGCATGCAGTTTACATTTCAAGGCTACACAGAGACATGTGATTGCATCGTAACCCCCATCAAACTCAACAGATGCTCTCCAGCAAAGCAGGCATGCTCCACAACTGGATACAGACAATGATTAGCAGCAGGAGCTCATGAACTGCTAACCCTCTGCACGCAGAAGCACAGTGCATCTAAATGACAATTATTCTACTGAAAAGGTTTTACCCCCACGTTAACATGCTTTGTTCTTCAGAATCCAGACTTGCAGATACTGACCCACAGACTGGTATTTACTCCCTTGCTTGCTTGTCTTTTGAGAACACAAGCTTCCATTTACACAGGTATGTCTGATTTGGAAATATGGATCCTGTAGTAATTGCTCTAAGGTCATCACTACTGCTATTTACCTGCCATATGACCCCCAGCACCTCTACATTTTTTAAACTTCAACAGGAAACAGAAAATGGGAAGACTTCTCCATACCTTTGGGCCCTGGAGTTCCATCAAAACCGGCCCGTCCTGGGAGACCAGGGTTTCCTGGGAAGCCAGGATCACCTTTATGTCCTTGAACTCCTTTTGTGCCTGGTGGTCCTGGGGGTCCAGGTGGTCCTGGAAGTCCAAATCCACGATCCCCCTGAAACAAATAAAAATCTTTTTAAAAGGGGTTTTCTAATTTTAGTCTCTCCTAAAATATTAAAATCAAAGAAAAAATGCCCGCTATCTTAGAGTTCCATTTCTATTACCCTTACTTAAGCCTCAAGTAGAGAATGTGACTTCCCCCCCATGAGAACCTGACAACAAGAGGTGAAATCCTCCCCACCAGCTTCCTACTGACACAAAGAACCTCTAAGAAAGTGAAGTTTTATATGAAACAAGCAATCACAGACCTTCTGTCCTGGGAAACCAGGTGGTCCAGGAGGTCCATCTAGGCCAGGGCGACCTGGAGTTCCTGGAGCTCCAGGGGGGCCTGGAGTCCCTGGGAAACCTACGTATGACATGGAGGTTAGGGCAGCAGAGGAGAGGACATCAGAGGGCAGCAGAGGAGAGGACATCAGAGAGCATCAGAACAACTCTTCCAGAAATGCTTAGGCCCATGAAAAGCAATAGCTGAAAAGAGGTTCTGTGCTAACTCAAGCATACTTGAGGGGTATGTTTGGCTGAGATAACTTTTGGGTATACAGAGGGGAGCACTTCCAATGGTGTGTGCTTTAATAGAAATTACAAACAGTTCACATCAGAACCATTAACATCTTGAGACAGCATTTGGAGATCATTTATTGAGCCAAGCTCAAACATTCATCGCATCCCAAAGTTTTACCCATTTTCTTTTGTGTCCTTGGTTTACTGAAAAGTGTAAGTGTGAAGGAGCAATACAGTGAATAGAGAAATAATAGCACAGCAGGCTTTTCTCTCATATTTCTGGAACTATTATAAAGATTTATAAATCAAAGCCAAACATTTTTTAAAGGATTCTAGAAACAGAAATCAACTCCCTAGGAAAAAGTAAAGAGGCACATGCCCCTGTGTCCCCTCTTCCAGCCAGTGCAAACAGCAACATGGGTGTAAACATACCTTTTGGGCCTGGTGGACCTGGAAGGCCAATGCCAGGAATACCTGGCTCTCCTTTTGCACCTGGGATGCCCGCTAAGCCACGCTGACCTGGCTGACCAGGATCTCCTGTAAAAAGAAGAAACTAACATAGTTATCAAGAATCAGAATAAAAACCTCTTTGAACTCCCTGGATATCTAGTTGGTGCTTTACCTGGAAGCCCTGGGTCACCATTTCTTCCTGGAGGACCAGGGGGGCCAGGTACTCCTGGTTCTGTAATAGTCTGGCCAGGGTCACCTTTTGGACCTAACACCAAAAAGAAGCAATATGTATCACTGAGGAGAAGTTTCTTGTCTGTTTTTCTTTGGGCAGAAAAAGACGCTAGCCCCATCCTAAGCTTACAAAGAACTTGAACATCAGCAACACTCTACCCAACAGGCTATCTACCCCTGAGCCCCATACAGCACTTACAGGCTTAGAAGCACTATTTAATGTTAAGACAGTTGTCTTGAAATGTTACTTCTATTAGTTTCCTCCTAGGTACTGTCATGTGAATAGTATTTTCCATAGCTGACACCAGCACAACTTCATCAGGATCTGTGTAGCTGACAAGAAAGTAACAAAACCAAACTTGTTCAAAGCAAACCCTTGTTTTAAAAATCTGTTGTAGTTGCAGTATTATTAAGCATAAGCCAGATGGTAGTTACAGTGCATTTCCACTGTAGTCAATCAAGAAGGAGAAGCACAAGGGTGAGTCATGTGCCTTGTACTAACATAGCACAAATTCTGCTCACTTCGTGATTTTGTGATGACCCTCAGTAAAGGAGCTTCTAAGTTCCAGATCTTACACCACCTTTGGGAAAAGCTTAAAAGCAGCATTATGTTCTGAGAACTATCTGGAGCAAGAGGACAAAACTTGATTTTACAGCTTCTGTTCAATAGTACACAGAGACCAACTCACCAGGAACTCCAGGAGGCCCTGGACGGCCTGATACACCTTGGATGCCCTTTTCACCAGGTAAACCTTGTGGACCAAAACCAGGAGGTCCAGGAAATCCTTTGTCTCCAGGTAGACCTGGTATTCCTGGATCACCTGGAATACCCATTTCTCCTTTGAACGCAACACTGCCCTGAAAAAAGGAAGAGCAGGATGGGAAAGAGGAACATGTATTTACCAGCAAAGGAGTGAAGTGTTTCACTGCTTCTGTTTTGAAACTCTTTGGCAGTTTCCATCCTTCTAGTTCCCAAGGCCATTAGCTGCCTACATCTTACTAAAATGACAGAGATAAGGTTTAAACCTGGCTACTTAATTCTTCATGCTACATAGGTGAAATACAGACAGTGGTAGAAGGGACCATCTGACACTATCTGAGAGAAGTCTCAGTTTATTTTTAGAGGCATTGACAGATCGAGGGAGTACCTCTGTATATCATTACTCTGTCTTCGTCACATTTGCCGGTCCTCTTATCTACACTATGTCAAATGCATCCAGGACTTCCCAACACATCTGTGCAATCAAAACTAGCATTAACTGGAACTCACAGGTTCCCCTTTAGGGCCAGGTAGGCCTGGCAGTCCATCTCGCCCAGGAGTGCCATCTATGCCAGGAAGACCTGGAGGTCCTGGGAAGCCGGGTTCTCCTTTGTCACCTTTCATTCTTGGAGAAGTCAAGACATCCCCTGGGTCTCCTTTAGGACCAGGTCTCCCAGGAGCACCTGGAGACCCTGGGAATCCCTGAGGAGGAAGTTTAAAAAAAAGGAAAAAAGAAAAGAAAAATAAGCATTTTAGTTTTTCCAGTTTTTCTTTCACCCCCTCTTTGAGTTTGGCACAAGAATTATGCATTCAAGCTAGTTATAGACAAAAAAGAGTATTAGACACCAATTCTTATCTACTATGCACAGATCTACAAAATATGGAAGACAAGTGAGACCAGAACACAACACCACCACTTACTGGTGGCCCTACAAGGCCAGTTAATCCAGGAAGCCCCTTTTCACCTTTTGGTCCAGGAAAACCAGGAGAACCTGAGTAAAGCACAAAAACATAAAAGAAAAAGATAAAACTGTAGAAGCTGTAAATATCAAGCATGCTGTTTGCATAAGATAACAGCTAAGTTGTTCTAAAACCAGGCAAGGTTTAATCTGCTTGTTTGGGGGAGCTTGATGTTATTTGAGAACCAAATTTGCAACTCTAAGTTAAATCAGTAATGTCAAAAAATGTCACACTTGCAAAAAGCTCCAGCTCCTCGATCATTTCAGGAATAGCAAGTAGTAGATGTTAATTTCTGTCTTTCAGTTAAATCTATAGCAAACCATAAACCTTCAATACTCAAAATGTTTGCAAGTCTGTCTTTGATCAGAGAATCTTTTTTGAAAGCCTAGATTTTCAGAAAAGGAGTGATTGTTTTGCATGTATCCAACCATCTCTCCGTTACACTCCCCAACTGCGCGAAATACAACAAGCACCAAGTATATACTGCAGCTGGCATCTGCATCTGAATTTGTACACATCACATTATACACAGATACTCAGATATGAAAGTGACTTTATGGAATATATTAAGCAAAACAGTGAAGACTATAGCTTTACCTGGACTACCTGGAGGTCCTGGTGGCCCTCTCTCCCCAGGAGGCCCAGTTATTCCAGTTCCTATGCAATTGAAGCACGTGTCTCCCTGATCACCTAAAAAGATTTGCACAGAAAAAACACACTTGAGAACCAGATCTCAGAAAACATTAAAAGAATTCTAAAACATGTATCAAAGTCCCAAACTTTAATTAAATTCAGAGAGCAAAATGAATACTGGGAATGTTTCACTGATCTGACAACAGGCTGAACATTTCGTAAGAAAAAATAAAAAGGACAGAAAAAAACAATGGTTTCAAGAAGCTGAGGAATTTGCTTCACATACAGACTCTTCTGACACTTGACAATGTGATATTCAAGCAGTTAGTTTAGGTTAACTAACTAATCCTTACAATCTCCATGAGAAAAAAGGCTTCTGTTTGAAAGGAGTACAAAATAAAATGAGATGGCCAAAGTCATGTAGGATGTCCATGGTTGAGCTACGAAAAAATTCTCACTTACCCATATCAGCATCCTCATTGCAAGGTTGTCTTTTTGGAAACAAGGATACACGTTAAAGATATCTTTCTTTTGATTACCAAACAAACACATTGTAGATCGACCAACTCAAATTAGGAATCTTGCATTTATAATTTCAATGTTGCTTTCCATAAAAAGTGTCAAATTTATTCATTAAGTATAAAACTTATTCACGTAGAGTTGGAAACTGCTGCTACAAAGCACTTAGTTGCTCTCTCCTGGGAGGTACTCAAATCTGAAGTTCCATTTTACTTTAATCACGACCCATGCTAGGCATTGCTTGTACCCTCAGTCACTTGGAGATTTCTGTGCTTTAACACTAGATGAGGGACTACTCTACACTCCCAAAACCCCATATTTCTTACTCAGAAGCAGAAAATATCTGCACTGAACCCTACTGGGAAGAGACCACTGTTTATCCTTATTTAACGCAAGCTTTAACAAAAAGAGAAAAAACAAAATAGCCATGGACACTGCACCTTTTTGGCCTCGCTCCCCTGTAAAGCCTTGTTGTCCTGGAATTCCTGGAGGACCTGGTGGCCCCTGCTCACATATCCCTTCACCTAAGGAGAATCAGGAGAGGTTTAATGATCAATTTGTTACAGACTGACAGCAGCACTGAATACATGTATTCAGTACAAAAATGCACTTCCTAGTATTTGTGTGAATATTCTAATATACCCACACAATCACAGACCAAACACTTTGGCAATTCAGACAGAGGACTGCTAATGAAAACCCACCAACGTAATCCAAACTCAAAAGGAAACAATCACCAGTTCTCCTTCACAACCTCAACTGCCTCCCACTGCTTCCCACAGCCTACAGACTTCCATCTGTACACCACATTCTGCTGTTCAGTCTCGTATCATAAAAGTATGTGTATGAAATATCAGTGAGGGGACTCAAGATGCCAATGCCATCTAGACACTAAATTCCCCCCTGAACCATGTTAACCCTTCCCCACCACAGTTCTCATATTCCATCTCCCATTCCCTACTTCCCTTATACCAAAAAGGAGCTTCATCCAAAGTTTTTTGTGGTCTACAGATGAGAATATTTACAAAACGAAACTGGAAATCTGTGAAAAGTTACTCTTTTGACTCTCCAGTCTCTTTCACTTGCTATCTATGTGCTCGTTACTTACCAGTAGGAACAGATGGTGCAGGTGGCCCTGGGGGACCTGGTGGTCCTGGGGGTCCTCGTGGTCCATCAGGTCCTGGCTGCCCAGGAATAGAAACACCAGGTAAACCTGGATCTCCCTTCTGTCCTCTCTCTCCAGGTAAGCCAGGTGGGCCAGGAGGTCCAACAGTAGTGATCCCTAAGATGAAAAGAACATAGGTAAGTGATATGGGTTAAATTACCCCTAAGACCATTAAGTTAGTATCTGTTTGACAGTCTGGATGATTAACATCCTCTGCTCACCACAGCAGGGGTAACAAATGTTTAGAATTTCTCATAACTTTGTGATCCTGTAAGTTTAGGACCACTCTTGAAGCTCATAGGTTGCTCTAAATAATCCTGCCATCAGTTTCTGCTCAGGCCATGCATCCAAAAGAGTGTGAAAAGACTGTGAAACTAAATATACGTTCAGACGTTTGAGCATACAACTTATTTTAATGTTTGCCCTCCTACCTGGAGAACCTGGCAAGCCAGGTGGCCCTGGCCTACCAGAGAATCCACGCTCCCCTTTGGCTCCTGGAAGTCCTGGCAATCCTTTGCTACCTTTTGGTCCCACTGCTGCATCAATGCCTGGTCTTGAAATGACCTGTAAATTTTTCATGTTCATGTGAAACGACTTGTCATGGAAAGTGTCACTGGAATGGTAAAGAGATGTGAGGGAGGAAAAGTTCAACATACTTTGAACCTCATACCAATGACAGGATGCTTTTCCCGCTCCACTGAATTACCAGGTAAAATTCCAGTAAAGAGCACTCCCCAATAGGAAGAACTTTTACTGCCAAGCCAACATGGTTATAACAGGCTTCAGTGAAGCTGACTCAATTTCTGCTGGTCTGAGGTTATCATCTAGCCTTGTGCTTGTAACCTAGCAAATCCTAGGGCACAGAGTCTATCTTGAAAGAAGGAATCATTTCTATTAGTGAACATATGAAATCTTTCCTGGGTCTGTTATTGTTATACCCAGAGATAGGACCCACAGTCACCCAAGAACTGTGATGAAACAACACTATCAATCAAATGCAAATAGAAAAGAAAGGATCAGCAACTTACAATTCCAGGAGGACCAGGGGGACCAATATCACCTTTTTCACCCTACCAAAGAAATTAAGAGCATTTTTTATACTGTGCATTAATACAAAAGGAAATTATTGCGAGTATTCCTCAACAGTGGGTGTAATAGCATAGGCAATGCAATTACTACTCAGCCAGAGCTGAACTCTGATGACAGATTTTCAAGCTACCAGAGCAGTGACAAAAAACCTGGCATACCTTTTCACCGTCTCTTCCTGGAGCACCATTTATTCCAGGCCCACCAGGTAAACCCTTCAAGAAAAGAGAGAGAATCACACTCAAGTCTTCTCCATATCAGAAGAAAAGCTTATAAGGAGTCAAATTAGAAATGTACAAGTTACTCACATCCCTACCAGGCTGACCAGGTTCTCCATCTTTGCCAGGCTTCCCCTTCAAAGACATAAACACTCATTGAAATAAAATGTTTCAGTGGTGAAGAATTCTTATGGAAATTGTGTTACTTATTTCCCACTTTTCAATAAGGCAGACTTCCTCTAGAATGCAGTCCTTGTGACAAACACGTCAAAGACATCAATGGAGTTATTTAAACTGAGGTTTTCATTTCGAAAACCAGAACACAAAACCATGGCAAGCCTCAAAGAAATGTTGTGTGAGTACAGCACGAAATGATCTTCAGTTAACTATTGCTGATTCATTGTGCTTAATAACCCCCTTTATTTTAACAATAGAGAAATCCTTTATTTGTAAAACAGATCCTAACTCCCTAAACACCAGAACATTATATTCAATTAGGAAATTGGTATAATGTGACTGGTTAAATAAAATATAAACATTTATGTGCTTAAATTTTAACTCTCCTTTAAACCAAATGCAGTTTTCTAAAGAATAGTATCAACAAAAATACAAAGTGCAACTCCACTCAAAGAATTGACTTCTAAAAACCATATATTCTTCCTAAAATGCTTCTAAAACCCATATATTCAAGGACAGACTTGTCATTGCTGCAACAAAACTAGTGCAAGTTCCACTTTATTACAGATCATTCACTGGGCAATAGAACTCTATTGTTACAGAAGCTCTATGTACGAGGGACACCTGCTGGAACGTCACTGGAATAGGTGGCCAAGTTTCACCACAGTGCCAAGATCAGCTCTCAGTCTTTGGGAAGTTGATAATAAGACCTGACAGATACTGTGTATTAGAGTATAATGTGATTTGTGAATTCTTTTTTCTTCGTGATGAGTTCTGATTCTCAAAAATTAAGTTTTAAGACCTCCTGTGAGGTTGCAGAACTGTTTGATTACATATACTGATATTTTTATGAGTGTATCTGAAATGGGTTTGAGTCCCACGGAATCATATGGAGCCCAAACAGGCAGCTCAGAAGTAACATAATTGCAAAAATTCATTTGAAGTATGCAACATGCCCAAATTCAGAGCAATAAACCCAAAAATGTTGGTAAACAAGCTTTTGGCAAAAGGCATCTGCCATCAGGACCTTTATCCTTTCAGATCTCTGCAGATTTCTGTAATTCCCATTTACTTTTGCAGGGAGGAGCAACTTGGAAAATGCAATTCAAGCCCACTCAAAATACAATGAGAATTTTGGCTTTGTCAGTCTGCCTCATTTGTTATGCTCCTTAGGGAAGGCACATCGAAGTCCTCCTCTAAATCTCAGCAACTAAGAGTATTTTACCTGGATTACCAAACATTTGCTTCCATTGTATTTATTTCCTATGTTATTTTGAAAACCTACTGCTAACAGTAGATTTCTAAACAATGTTTATATATTGTTGAATTAACCTGAGCCACACTTGTGTCTTGGTTTTCAAAGAGGTCCATTATGTTGATGAAACTATGGGTTCAGTAGCTGTGATAGTGAAAATACAGAATGCTTCGAGCTGGTAGCAGCTTGTCTTGTCTTTGCTGGTCTGGCCATGTCATTTTCATCCCATTTCTTAGCACTTCTATGATTTTCCTTAGTATTTCTGAGCTGTGGTATCCAAGTAAATTTCAATTCCAGGACGAATTTGAGTCTGGACAGGAACAAAGTGACTCATGCTATCTGGACTCGTGCCCTCCCCAGGCAGCACATAAACTGAAGTAGTTTCTTGGGGAGTGACAAATGGATTTTTGGTCTTCATGCAGCGTTCAGAGACTTGGTTTTCTGACTCACCTCATGAGTAAACCCACTGAGGATGAATTTACATAGACCAGCTTAAATACATACCAATCTCATGCTGCTTGACAAGCCAGTACATAGCAAAATGAAAGAAAACCCTCTCTCTCTATGGAAACAAAAACCTGCTGCCTCAGTCAAGCAGCCCAACAACTTTGAAGGTTTCCACATGTAACATAATTTAGATCATTTTATCTTGCCCTCAAAACTAAGATCTACAAGTAGATGATTCTACCAGAAAGTACTGAGAGATCCATAGCTGGAAGCACTTCCACAAACCAGATGTACCATCCACTATTTTGCCAGGTTATGGAAGAAAAAAGTCTCTTACCCAGAGGCTGATGGGCCCCACCTGAATTCAACATTTGCTTAATTCTCAAAGATAACACTGATTGGAAAGATAAATGTTTGGTTAAACAGACTACTTACTCTTTTGCCTGGTTCTCCTTGCTCACCTTTTTCACCTTTTACGCCACCGGGAAGACCCTGGACACACAAAGGTCATCTTAAACTGAGCCCATAAGCCAGTGCAGAAAGAATTTACAGTTCTGATACAGATGCAATGAAAAAAAGAACTAAAAGAGGGCTACTCACAGGAGGACCTTGTGGCCCAGGAAGTCCTGGTGGGCCTGGATCACCTGGAATACCCTGTCAAGCATGGGCAAAGAAAAATAGGATTAAAGCCTCCATCACTCCCTAGTAGCTCAGGCAATTTCTTTAATTCCCAAGAACTATGGTCAGTAAAAGATCACATTTATTCTTTCTTTGTGTGGAACTTCAAGTGCATCTATAAATTTTTTAACTGCTCATCCTGTTTATTTAGATGATTCACTCTACTAAGATACAACTGTCTCCTGCATGCCCTGGTTTGGTGGCCTGCAGCTGCTATACAGTCATAAAAAGAAGGGAAAAAAAACCCCAAACCAGGAAAGAAAGCAGAACAAATGCCAGATCCTGCTAAAATTACAACAACAACAGTCATTAGATCAGTGGTAATTGCTGAAGTTGTGAGAGCACCAGGATCGATAGTGTGTTTGTCTGAAAAGTGTTAAAAAGTTATGGTTTCTGTTTTGTCTTGTTACACCTTTGTGCAAGTTCTGAAATCTCTTCACCATTAACCTAAAGAAAAGCTGCAGATTATTGAATCCACAAAAGGTTTCTGTGTAGAGTTTCTGTTATTTTCTTGGAGGCCTCCCAGACTTATACTTGATTCTCAGTCAGAGATCACAGGCAGAGATACACACCAGAACTTTGTGTGTATTTCACAAAATTGTAAGTGTAATGCTGAAGTATTTCACTGATTGTGTACTACTGAGCACAAGCTTGGTTGAAATAAAACCAAATATATAAGCTTTGAAGTCATTGTTAATGTTGGTCAAAGACAATGCACTTACACTCAGTAAGTCTTAGTGCTTTAAAAGGAATGTAGTTAGAATGCTTTTGTTTTGTACATTTATTTAACTCAATGCTGGTATAATTAGTCTTTCAGAGACCCCTGATGACAGAGGAAAATTACTCTGACCCTAATAAAGTCAGATGAATTTTTGCTTCTACTACAGTGTGGTCAAAACGTCACCTTGTGTTTTCTTAGAACTATAAAGACACACAATGCTGCTCTTCACCTTCTGTCCTACCATCCAGTAAAACAGAGACAAAAACCAGAGACCTTTCTAAGATGACTGTGCATTGCAAATGCACATCAGTGGATACCTCTAGGTAATGCCTTAGTGGTGCCTAATGTTCTTCTGAAAAGAAGAGTAACAAATGGTTTGATCAAGATGAAGGGCAGACTTGTCCTAAAATCAAACACTGCTAGACAGTAGTACCAAACCTTTCTTCTCTGACATGCTACCCAAGATGAAAAGGTGGAAAGGAAGAAACTGATCCAAATACAGATGGAGGAAACTATCAGTTTAAAGTTTAAAGCTCAGTTACTGCAGTGACATTTGCAAAATAACTGATCACTCACCACCCTTAACTCTTCTATTATTCGGGGTGGTATTTGAGAATACCACAGAAATGATCCTGCTGGTGCTGCTCAGACTCTGTGACTGGCACCCAGAACCAGATGGTACTGTGAAATGTTCCCCAGTAAAGAAAAAAAGGAAAAAATGTAGTAACTTAAAAAAATGGCAAGTTTCCTGATGACTTTTTGGCATTTATGGGTGAGGAAGGATCCATACAAATCAAACCAAGAGTTTAAGCTTACTGTTGGCCTAATGTATATTTTTGAGAGGCCAGAAACAGGGGAAGCATTTTATTCAGACCACACGGAAGAAAGATCTTGGGGCATCACTAATGACAAAAAAAAAAAGGAGAGAAAAAATAAAATAGAAGAAAAAAAGGAATTAAGTTAAAATTTTTGACAGGCTTCTTCACAATGGATGACGCAGCTGGTTAATTACTGGCAATATGAATCCCCAGACAGCTTTGAAAATTGCAGTCTGGGTGTTCCAAGGAATGAGAGTATTTTAACTGCTTTTGCTGTTACTATGAACTTCCTTTAAAAGAGTTTCTTAAGAATAGTTATTTTACTAAGGGAAGTAACTGAGATAATGTGGCTGGCACGCCTTCTATTAAAGGAAAGGTACTCAGGCCTGAAATATGCAGTACTTTTGAGAAAAATAACAACCTTTGCAGTAAGCAGGGTATTAGTATATATAATGCAAAGTAACAGAGGCTGCAGCTTGATCACAGGCTCATTGCAGATGGATACAGTTTCCCACTCACCTGATCTCCTTTCTGAAACTCAATGTCATTTGGTCTCTTCTGTTCTCCAATTTGCCCTGGTGGCCCTGGAGGTCCCTGAAGACCTTGTTCACCCTGATGTGCAAGAAGATGGCAGTTGGTTACAGGCAAGACAAGCCAAAGTGGCACGCGTAAGTATTTTGAAAGGAATAAGCAAAAATCTCATCATGATCACCTACTCACTTTTTCACCTTTGGGTCCTTGGAAATTCAAACCCATATTACCCTGCAAAAAGTATAACTCATCAGCCCTTAAAAGTTACAAATGAACAGAAAGAAAAACAAAACATCCCAACACCACCATCAATGGGGGAAAGAAAATACCTTTGGTCCTGGCAGCCCTGGTGGACCAGGGGGTCCCTGTTAAAAAAGGAACAGCAAAAAAAGTCACTTCCAAACACTTTATAATGCCCCTATGTGGCAAAACCCAACAAAACTGATATGGCTACTTTGACTCCTGGGCATTATAGCCATGTTGACAAGGCACCTTGCCTTCCTCTGATTGCTCTTCCTCACGCTATTCAACTTCACAAATATACAAGAAACTAGTTCTTCCTTTAAGTGAGAGACAAAATTAAATAGTGAGGTATTAAACATTAAGAAAAGAATCATCCTGGTCTAAAATAAGCTGAATCTTGCCCCTCAGGTTTCTCACAAGCAGACTGCACAAAGATTCAGCCTGACTTAAAGCAAGAAGAGGTCTGGGAAGAGGCTGTTTCAAATGTGTCACATTTAAATGCGCACAGCAGCAGCTCCAGGGTGAACTGAATGCTTGGTTCCTGTTGTCTTCATACCAAGTCTTGATTACCAAGATCTCTGCACTTTACCAATCTGCCTCTGGGAACACTAAACAAAGAAGTAACTGCCCCATTTAACACTTTATGAGTAACAAGTTAAAGAAACTTACCGTCAAACCTGGGGGCCCGGGAGGGCCAAGTGGACCTGGTATTCCCATGGCACCGGGTGGGCCCTGTTGAGAAAGGGGAAGAGGATATGAGAGAGGCACCTTTCTATGAACAAAAACCAAACAATGAGACGTTCAAGGTCAGAAAAAACCCACAGCTGGTACCACATAAACTTCAAATCAAAGTAGCTGACCACCAACCCACCAACCTGTCCTTGTGGAAAGGCCTAAAGGAGGGTACATCATGTTAGGAGTGTTCTGCTCTCATCAATACATCTCTCTGGCTTGGATAAAGGAATGCTTTTTTGTTTGTTTTGAACTACTTTTGTGCTTTCTTTCTCTTCATGCACTGAGAGAGAACAACAAAACACTTTGTATTTGTGATTCCTCCCAGCCAGAAACAGACAATAGGGAAGCACAGATCAGAGGAACAGAAATGCTAATAGGCTCAGTCTGGTCAGAATGGCCTGGGGCTTGCCTCTCTGTACCAGGAAATGGGAGTCTCTGGCTTCTATCCAGTCCAGGCTGATAGGCCTGCTCCCCTTGTTCTGCCACTACAGCAGTGAATGGCTCAGTGGGAAGCACAGGGCCTGGAGTCACTAGCTGTTTTCACAGAAGACTGCTGGGAGAACAGAAACACTGTTCAGGAGATGCGGCATAAGGAGAACAGCTGAGACATCACCCTTTTCCCACCATCCAAAATAGCGGCTGCAGCCCAGAAAGGCAGATGTTACTTACTTTACTTCAGGGTGAAAAAGGGAAGGGAACTCCAGTACTGATACAATGTCTAGGAAGGGGAAACAGGCAGGGGAAACAGAGAAGTGAGTCAGTAACTGTGAGTACTGCTGTCTGCTGGATACCGCTTTCCTGACCAGGGGACCTTTCTGGGACCTCTGTGGGTCACCCTATGAGGAGCAATACGGAAACACTCACTTTCCCTGAAGCCATAAACTAGAGGTATGTTAAATGTGAGCCCTGGTTCTCCACATAAATGTATGGATCTCCTAGCACCAAATGTTCCAATTGTCCTGTAATGCAAATACTTCTCATGTTATCTTCCTGGCAGAGCACAGCATAATAGTACTTTACATAACTTACAGGTATCCCTGGAAGACCTGGAAATCCTGGGTCGCCCTTCTGTCCTGGCAGCAAGGAGGTAATTATTTCACCTGCTTCACCCTAGGAGAGAAAGAGATGATTTTAACTGATAGCACATTTCTTCATCACCATTCTGACTCTAAAGAACACATAGTGGCTCTTAGGACTCTGAGAGACTCAAGAGTTATGCTACAACCTCACAAGTACTCTTTAACGTAAGTAATACGTTCTCCAAGAATAGCTTTTTTTTAGGAGAGGATTCTTTAAATGGCTAAAGTACCAACTATTAAAAGCTCTCTTTCTGTATGTACAAATATATCAGCATTGATGTAAATTCCAAAAGATTAAGGGATTGAAATACAAACGCTTCACAAAAGAAAAAGACATTCTGTCCCCATGTGAAAGCAGTGGATAGGAGACCAAAGCAAAAAGGTTCATTCAGCTGCTTCCAATGTCCCACCTCAGGAGACAAATTATGAGTATGCTGTTATGGTAGTTGTGCTCCATGTTCTATGTTGAAGCACAGTTTCTTATTGATTTTGGGCAATGTCTTTGGTTTAAAAGTATATGTTCTGATAAGCTTTTTGATAACTTGATGCCTCACAACAGACACTGTCCATCACACTGCCAAGGAAACCAGCTTCAGAAAACACTCTGCTACTTCTGACCGAAACTGAGTAAAGCTACTGCAGAATTTCCAGTTAGTTGCACTGGGGTGGCCTAGAAACACTGCAAAATGTCACTCCAGATTCCAGTGGATGCACATGGTCTTGCATGGAAGCAAGCAGGTTACCTATGCCAGATCATACCGCACACCCGAGCCCGGTTCGTACTTCATTGTGTGAGAACAGAACACTTACCTTCATACCTGGCAGACCAGGGGGTCCCTTTGTTTAAAAGAAACAAAAAAGAAAAGAAAGATCAATAGGTATGATATTTGCAAGCCACTAATCAGATCTACACCCTGAGGCAAGCATTTAATACAGGAGTCTAAAAAAAAAGACACAAAACAGGATAAAATTTTATGATCTTGAGAATCAAGTGGAAAAAGTTAGAGCATTAAAAGGACCACGTTTCCATTTCTTAGCAATTTGTTTCTTAATTACCTCCTATTATCCATCCTGTCCACTACATTTCTTTCTGTTCGTACTTTGGTTCTGACAGTCATTTTGCTGTACGTCCCTGTTTTATAATGAAAACACCCTACAGTGTCTCTTTTTTTCTGCCCCATTAATCACCAGTAAGACTCTTTAGATGTACCGGATGAGAGTATCAAGATCTTACTTCTCTGTACACATATGCATATATTTGTATTTTCTGCAGGTGGCAAAGCATCTCAGCATGTGAGAACTCAAAAGGCTTTTTATAAGCTTTACCACAGCATGCAGCAGAAAAGCTCACTTTTATTGGACATCTAAAATATGCTGATTAACCATAAAAAAAAGGAGTCTTCTTATTTATTAAAAGAACAACTGCAAAAAGAGGCTGATATTATACAGCTGATTGGGAAATATTTTACTTACAGGAGGCCCTTGTAAACCAGGAAAACCTGGACTGCCTGGGAATCCACGTTCTCCCTTAGGGATGAAAAAAACATTTAGCCAACACCAAACCAATACATAACAAAAACAGATAACCCAATTCTGACTGAAAAGCTCAGTTTCATTGTTAGCTTATGACTCCAGAGTAACAAATTGTATTACAACAAGCTATAGGATAAACAGTTTGTTAAATCACACAGCTGACTGAAACAGAACTTCCCACATTCAGGTATTTCCACATACTTCCAGGCAAAGTACTACAGAGATGAAACCCACAAAAAGCGCTATAGAAGATAAGCATAACATGAAGCTAAGTAACATATTAGGATGAAAGTGACTCCTTCCAACAAGCATATTGAATCAGTATTTTCAATGCATTGTTATTAAAAATTAATAATTAAAGTGCCACTATTAGGTAAGTTTTCCTTGGTAGCGAGAGTCTACTACAAAGATGAGACGCCGTGTATGATCTAGTTATCAGACACTACTCTCAATTGTTAGCTATAAAATTAAGGATTAGAGCAAAGAATTCAACTACACTGACTGCATAGTATAAATATTGTGTCTTGGTGCTGCCAATTTCTGGGAAAACTTGTGCTTTAATTAGCAGAACACAACCTCTTGTCTCAGATACGTGTGCAAGTCTGAATCATCTTGGAATTACCTGCACTGGTCAGTAACAGCAAGTACTGCTGCACATAATAAATGAAACCTACTGGCTACAGCCAGAACAACAGCTCTTTATCATCTTATTCTTGCACTGTTAAGAATTTTAAAGGGATTCCAACCTTTGTTCCATTGCATCCTGGAATACCCTGAGGTCCTGGTGGCCCATCTTGTCCTGGTAATCCCTTTAAAGTGGGAAAGAGAAAAGAAGAGTTAGCTTGTAGGATGCTCTTCTGGGCCTGAAAGACAAAAGGGAACAGATTCATATCTATACAGCCCATTTCTACTCACAGGAAGTCCTGGTGTTCCTGGAAATCCTGGAAGTCCTGGCGGTCCCTAGAAGGAAATTAACCGTATGTGTTTTAAAGAGTATGGTACTAACAGATGTGAAAAAGGATTTACCAAGGTTTTACTAAATGTAACCTGCTTATTATCTAAGTAAACAGAAACATCTGAATCACATGTAAAAAAAGAATGTCGTGCTGGACAGCCATCAAGGTTCTAACCCTTCTTTCAGGGACACATCCACAAAAACAGAGAAGAAAATGCAGAACAACTAAAGTAGTAGTATGTAGATATATAGAGAAAATAAATGAACACTCAATAGTGTGGAAAACGGTGTGTCCTAATGAAGTCAGAGGTGCATTAACTGTCACCAGCTGAGGGTTCTGACAAAAAGAAAAAGCAAAGGCATGAAACCTAAAGAATTTGCAGACAAATTGACCTTTCCTGTATTGATCCTACATACACTGTGTCTACTTCAGAATAAATAGAAGCAAAGTTACCGGCACTTATGTCCTGTATAGCAAAACAGGTCAAATAAGTATTGGGGCTACTCCTCCCTATAAGTTCATCAAAGTAATACAAGCAATAGGTAAGATTGCATGCAGCCTTATATTACCTGTAAAAAGTAATACAATCTCTTCTATCTAGTAGAACCATTACTCTTCAGATTGAAGTTAATTTTCACCCCCAATGAATCACCACTTCTGTGAGGAGCCACTCAATGCATGGCAATCTTCATCCATAATTCCAATATATCACCCTAAAACTGCACCGATACTTACTCTGATTCCTTTGGGTCCAACAGGCCCTGGAAGTCCATCATCACCCTAAAAGAAAAACCAACAACAACAAACCAAGAACACACACTCAAGTTTGCAGCCTGCCTTTCTATCAAATTCAACCGTAAGCACAAAATTTCTTCTACATGTTTATAGTAAGCGCACTAAAGTTAAATTATTTCTTTCTTAAGTAAAAAGGTTCAGAGTTATTTTATTTGAATTTAAAAGTATCTCTTGCAGCTGACAAACCATGACCATGGAAACGTGTTTGAAAAAAATCAAAGCAATTTAAGATTGCTCGTAAGCAGGTACCTGTCAAGTGCTTCTGTCAAATATCCTACAGTGACCTCTTGTGGTCAAAACAGGATATACAGGAATAAACGTAACTGATACTGTGCTATTATGTTGTATTATGATAACGCAGAACTTTGTATCAAAGTCTCGAGAAGAAAAGGCATTTAGGCAATAAAAATATAATCAAAGTTTCTAGTCCAAGACTCCTCTGTTTTGCTCCTGTTACATCCAATTAATCTTTTCTTTCAGGATAGACTTCCATTTTTTTCTTGTCACCTACCTATTTTTGCTTTGCTCCTTTTTGGTGCACTTCTCCTAGTTTATACTGTGAGCATTTGCAAAAGAAATGGCAGATCCTGGATAATCTTGTGTATATTAAACATAAATACAAGAAGAACATTTTAATGCTACATTATACCACCTGAGCGCAATGATGCAATTCAGTAACAAACTGAAGCCCTGCAGGGAAAGCAGGGAGCATTCCTCAGCTGTGTGTGCACTGGTTCGGTGGGGCTTTCATTTGCATTGCCTCTCCAAAGCCAGCCCAGGAATATCACTTCACCCATGTGGTGGGACCCCTGCGGGCAACTGACAGCCCAACACTGCTCTTATCAGTAAGCCAAGTGATGGAGTGCACTGTGCCAGGGACTAATAAAACTGCATTACAGAACCTGGCCAAACCTGTTTTTCACCTCAACCTGCAGTGCCTATTGAAAGGATGCAAGGGCACGTGTAGTGTTTGCAAGCACATTTATGTAAAGAATAGGAAACTGAAAGCAATCTTCGCCCTCTGGTTGACTATTGAAACCAATAAAGCAAAAAAAACTGTATCATACTCCAACATCTGAAGATTTTAACGGTTAAATCAATGGTGATCAGGAGTTCTGGAATGATTTAGGATAAGCACTACAAGCAAGCTAACACCGCCTAGTATTTTCATGCTATTCAAGTGAATTGGGACTTACCTTTGCGCCTCTTGGACCAGGTGGTCCTTCTGGTCCTGGAAAACCAGGCAAACCTGGCTGTCCTTCCAAGCCTGGGAATCCCCTTTCACCCTACAAAAAGAATAAGAATGGTAGAGGTGTAACAGGACAAAAGCACAAGTTACAATTGAAATAGTCAGAAAAGACATTATCTTTCTGGTTTTCTGTAGGAAATCATCATACAGCCAAAAACCCCAACACTGTCCTTAAACATTTCGCCTGCTTAGCTACAGAAACTCCTGAACATACACATACATTGACTTTAATTGGACCAGTTACACAGGTTTCATAGAATGTTTATCCATTATTTAAGCCATCTATTTACCACAATAATTCAACCATCTGTTTCTCCCATGCTGCTTAAACACATAGAACTCTCCCCATTCCTATAAAAATACAGCTTTATTTTAACAAGTCTCCCCTGAAATTTCACCTCTGCTGCAATTATCTATAAAAGCTCTCAGAAGGGTGTAAATTGCTGCTATACTATGATCGCCATTTATTACTTCACAGTTGCAAGATCATGGAGCAGATCCTCCTGGAAACTATGCTGAGGCATATGGAAAATAAGGAGGTGATGGGTGACAGCCAACATAGCTTTACTAAGGGCAAATTGTGCCCGATACATGTGGTGGCCTTCCATAATGGGGTTACAGCACTGGTGGTTAAAGGAAGAGCAACTGACACCATCGACCTGGACTTGTGCAAAGCAGTTGTCACTGTCCTGCACAACATCCTTGCCTCTCTAATTTAGAGACATGGATGTGATAGATGGACCACATGGTGGGTAAGGAATTAGCTGGATGCTTGCACTCAAAGTTACAGTCAACAGGTCACTGTCTAAGTGGAGATCAGCGTTGAGTGGTGTCTCAGGGGTTGGTATAGCGACTGGCACTGCTCAGCGTCTTTGTTGGTGACACAGACAGTAGGATTGACCTCAGCAAGTCTGCTGATGGTACCAAACTTGGTGCAGTCAACACACTGGAGGGAAGGGATGCCATCCAGGGGGGCTTTGACAAGCTCGAGACATGGGCCAGTGCAAACCTCATGAAGTTCAACAAGGCGAAGTGCAAGGTCCTACACCTGGATGGGGGCAATCCCAAGTACAAATATAGGCTGGGCAGAGACTGGACTGAGAGCAGCCCTGAGGAAAAGGACTTGGGTGCGTTGTTTGACAAGAAGCTCAATGTGACACGGCAGTGTGCACTTGCAGCCTGGAAGCCCATTCCTGGGCTGCATCACCAGCAGCATGGCCAGCAGGTTGAGAGAGGGGATTGTCCCCCTCTAATCTGTTCTGGCAAGACCCCAGCTGGAGTGCTGTGCACAGTTCTGGGGCCCCCAGCATAAGAAGGATATGGACCTGGTGGAGCAAGTCCAGAGGAGGCCATTGAGATGCTGCGAGGGCTTTTGGCAAGGGCATGTAGGGACAGGACAAGGGGGAATGGCTTTAAACTGACAGAGGGGCTACCCCATCCCTGGCAGGGTTCAAGGCTAGTCTGGACAGGGCTTCAAGCTACATGGTCTAGTGGAAGGTGTCACTGCCCATGGTAGGGGGGTTGGAACTGGATGAGCTTTAAGGTCCCTCCCAACCCAAACCATTCTATGATAATGTAAAAGCAATTAAAATCCTGGCCGTGCACTGTATGCTAAACACCATACAAATACAGAACATAAACAGGGTTCCAGCCCAAAGTACTTTGAATCTAAATCTAGTGAGACAGACACAAGACAGCAAAGAAGCAAGAATTCTTATTCCTTTTATCTGTCACCTCCTAAAATCATAAGCCCTCAATTAGCAACCATATTTTGCTAAACATTTATGCAAAGATGAGCCGTGGTAGCCCATCAGTAGTGTAACAAATACCATATGCTGCCCTCTTAACTTGTCAGTGTGAGTTAGCAATGTCACTTACCTGCAGTTTGAGAATATGCATAGCTGAAAATTCCCAAAGTATTTATTTTATTCCTCATATGTCATAGATTCACAAAAATCAGTAAATATTAAGGTTTCAATTAGTAAAGAAAAGTTAGGAAATACCAGAATTAAGGCACCTTTTTTGCATATATATATCTCTCTATATATATCTCTTACAGTACATTCTTCAACTGCATAAATAGGTAATTCCTGCAGCTGTTACAACAACCAGTACATATAACTGCTTATGAAACAGGCAGATGTACAGTTGCAGTGTACTTAGTCATACCTATACAGTGAGACTCAGAAGGATTCCTTGGATAGAAATAGACAGCTCATTAACTGGTCTGCTAAAGTTGGCTTCCTATTAATTAAATCTAAACATACTCCTCTTGTACTGGAGGTCACATACTGCTCTCTTATAAAGGCCAGACATCTTTTGTCCCCTGTGGAAATGCTGAAATGGCATAATAAATTGGGGCTAGGTTGACAGTCAAGTGTCCAGACTGGCTTTTGCACACAAAGTGCCAGGCTGTACTGTGGTGGGTTGACCCTGGCTAGACACCAGGTTCCCACCAAGCCACTCTATCACTCCCCTCTTCAGCTGGACACAAAATATAATGAAAAGCTTGAGGGTTGATAGCGTGACAGGGAGATCAGTCACCAGTTACCATCAAAGGAAAACCAGACTCAACTCAGGGAAATCAGTTTATTGCCAATCAAAAGTCAAAGCAGAGTAATGAGAAATAAACCCCAAATTTTAACACACCTCTCTCCCACTGCTCCCTGCTTCCCAGGGTTAACTTTACCCCCAACTTCTCTTCCTCCTCTCCCCAGATGGTGCAGGGGGACAGGGAACAAGGTTTGTGGTCAGTTCATCGCACACTGTCTCTGCTGCTCCTTCCTCCTCATACTCTTCCCCTGCTCCAGTGTGGAGTCCTTCCCACAGGACACAGCCCTCCACAAAAAGCTCCAGCGTGGGTCCCTCCCATGGGGTGTAGTCCTTCAGGAACAGGCTGCTCCAGCATGGGGCCCCCAGGGGGTCACAAGTCCTGCAGCAAACCTGCTACTCTCTCATGCCAGGAGCCTGCTCCAGCACAGCCCTCCTGCAGGGTCACAGCATCCTTCAGGCATCCCTCTGCTCTGGTATTGGGTCCTCCCTGGGCTGCAGGTGGATATCTGCTCCACCATGGACCTCCATCGGCTGCAGGGGCACAGCCTGACTCGCCATGTCTGCTCCAGCACCAGATGACCTCCTGCCTTCCTTCTGCACTAACCTTGGGGTCTGTAGAGCTGTTTCCTCTCACACATTCTCACTCCTCTCTCTGGCTGAAGTTGCTGCTGCACTTCTTCCTCTTAAGTACGTTATAACAGAGGTGTTACCACTGTAAGTGAGGGCTCACCCTTGGCCAGCAATGGGCCCATCTTGAAGCCATCTGGCATTGGCTCTTTCAAACCTGGGGAAGCTTCTGTCAGCTTCTCAGAGAAGCCCCCCCTGATGCTCCCCCAAACCCTGCCACACAAACCACATGGAGCACAGCTGGTGTGCTACCTCGTCTCAAAGCAAGATTGTGGAGGAGTATTACTGCGTCAGTCCAGGATATGAAAGGGTTAGTGGTCCCTGAAGGAGATAGAATGAGGAATTTGGGAGTGCCAGGTAAGGAAAACATTGGACAGAGCCAGACTCTGGAGCAAGCTCTGGGAAGAACTGTTTTTGCACACTTGGGAAACACACCTGTGTACAAGAAGCATGTCAGCTGTATCAGGTGCTAGCTGGGCTACACAATGCGTGCTAATCTCAAGCAGGTACACTTCACACTTGGTACAGAAAGGAACATCTGCACATGGTTACTAGAACAGAGTTTCAGCACAGGGCTGGCCTTGGGTGTCATCTAAGGCTTTAGAACTGTTCTCTAAAATGCAACTACTCTGTGAGGTCTCCACTCTGAGCAGTCACACAACCAGGAAGCAAAGGCCTTTAAAGAGAAGCATATGAAACCGAACAGTTAAGTGAGAGAAATACAGGAAGGCAACAGATGATGCTGCTAGAACTGCACTATTGAAACTCAGAGTATTTTCCAAGCCCACTTTGAAAGTGAGCAGCAACAATGAGAGATCTGCCTGAGGAAACTGTTGCCAGGGCAACTTCTGTGGATTTTCCCAGCAAATTACCCCCAAGAGTGAACAGATGATTGGAAGGACTATGCCTGGGGATAGCTGAAGGATTACACCAGATGCTTCCCAAGGGAACTGTATCAAACTAATTACAGAGGGAATAGCTGCACTCCAATCACTGCTTTTGATCCAAAAAAGTAGTTGGAGAAAGAAATGTGGGCAAGTTGGGCAAGGAGAAAAACCAAGATGGCCCAGATGCCATCCCCAGATGATGCTGGGGAGGATTTTATTGCTTTCTACTTTAATGGTGTATAAGGATTCCATAAGTGAGAACAGTTTTAAAACATTGCTTCTGCCTCCAGCATTTTCCTATTGCACACCTTGCATATACCATCCTGTTTTCATGAAGATTCAGAGGATACATTTACCATGAAAAACTGCCTGCTGCCTTGCAAGAACGTACTGAAACCAGAAAGACATTTAGAAAGTCCTCCCAAAAAATGATATCATTTAGGTTATAATGAGATTTAAGTCCCTGGGGAACATGCAATGTATTTTCTTATAGATGCAAAGACTGACAGTCACTGACCAGTTTTGCTTGCACAGAAAGAACCAAGAAAGTCTGGATACTTTTTGTTTCAGACTAGAAACTAAGAGAAACATGAATAGGAAAGGTTTAGGTCAACTCTGATCCCATCCATCTTCTACTCTTGAAATTACAGGATAATTCCATAGCAGAATAAAGATGCAGCAGCTATAAACCATCATTTCCTTGGGGAATGGGTGAGGAGTCAGATTCCGATCTCAGTGATAAATCCAGAGGAGCTGGCAAAGCAATTGCCCTCAATCAGCTACACAGATGTGGCAAAACTGTCATCTTATAGGCTTGAACATGACTGTTGCTTGGGGGGTAGAAAGAAAAAACTGGGGAAACACCCTAGAATTATGCTTTAGGCAGCAGCAAGATATAGCCAATTAGACAGAGATACAGAAAAGCTTGGCCTTGTTCCATGCGCTCTAATAATAGGTCACAAGTATTTAAGAGATCAGGGATAGATGCAGTTTTAAAGCATACACAAGTAATTTAAGTTTCTAGAATTTCTTCCTGAAACCTAAATGCTTATGAAGAGACATTATGGGAAGAGAAACAAGGGTATTTACGCTATTGTGACATACCCATTAAAAAAAACCCAAACAAACAAAACCAAAAAAACCCACCCACCCCCCAAAAAAAAAAACCCAAACAAAACCAAGGCATTCAAAAACGAGGAGAAAAAAAAAACCCTAACAAACAACCATTCAGGAAAGCAGTAGTTGGACAGCCCATTTCAATGCCTAAATACATGTAAGAGCCTGGCTGTAACATCTGGCAATAGAGGCACATTGGTTCCTGTCCTTCCTATAAAAACAATGAACATCAGAGAGTCTAAAGAGTTAACTATGGGTGACCACTTAAAACTAGATTCATGTACAAATGTCTGTACATTAAGCAGAAGGCAATAGGGATCTTAAGGACACAGATAATTTTCTTAAACTTCAAGCTCCAAGGATATACATCCAAAAAGTCCAAGAGTAAGAAATTCTTCCTAAGGGGCATGGATTTCTTGTATCTGCATACAAAGTATCTGAAATGCCTTCAGAGCTCAGATACTACAAGCTGTTCTTGCCAGCATCCCAGGCACCAAGCTTGTATGAGATGGTATATTAGGAGCTTGCAACCCAGTTGATCCTCTGGAGTTGCAGCCCTTACATTCTCATCAATAAACCCAGTGAACTCAGAACCTTATGAAATTCTCTTTTAAAAGGCTATGGACAAACCATATGTAAAAACTAAAGAATAGTTTATTAATCATTTTAACTCAATTTGAATGAATGGAGCACAGTAGTCCTGCCCTTAAAAACCAGTATCATGCATTTGCAGTTATTTTGAGGTAGAACCGCATCTTAGGTGTGGTGAAAAACATGGTCCTACCTTGAGCCATGTGTCTATAACAGCTACACAGATAGTTGTGCTGCAACATCACTTGCATGAGGAAACTCATCAGGCTGAAAACTGACCTAGTTTACAACAAAACTTGTTTTCAGCAAGATCAGTAACAACTCTGAATATGGCTACACAACTCCCAGAGGAGAAACAGGAACACCTAAACAAGGTAAGAAAGCCTATTCCAGCAGCAGCATGTACTCCCACTTTAAAGCAAAGCCACAGCAGTCATGGGGCACAAGTCCTCTTGGTGACTAAGATGCATGCAGCTTGCTTGCTTGCTGTGGCCCTTGGCTCTCAGTCTTCATCAGCTGGAGCAGCTGAGATTCAGTACCACCACCTCCCAGTCTTGGAAGAGCTGATCTTATCAGCATCTTTGGATCTTGTTTTCAGCTGAGGTAAAAGCAGCCCAATAATCTACAAGTTTTACTGGTTTGTCTTTGACATTGCTCCATGTGCAGTGCCTACTGTGTTTATTCCTTTAGCTAGCTTTACTGATTAACTAGCTTTTAAGCATTAAAAGGAGGTTAATCTCAAAAGTGCCAGACAATCTTTATTTAAAACCCAATCATCATCCAGTTCCTTAAGTGAAAAGCAATTACACACTTCTCTTGCAGTTGAAAAGAGAGAGCAGTTCTTATAAGCAACGGTATGTAGCAGCTTAATAATTTACTTCAGTTTTAATATTCTCATCAGATCCAGTTCACTACCGAGTAGGTTATTGTAAGTAACAGCACACTGGCTCCCAATGTAATCAATTTTTAATGACTTCTCCAGTAAATTCCTCTCATTTCTTCATTATACCACTTTAGACATGTTTTAATTTTACCAAAAAGAACTTACTGTGCTTTGATTCTCCACCAGATAACATGCTACTGATGCTATAGGGGCTCATGGCAGAGACAAAGTTAAACAAGAAC